AAATTAGCAAATTCAAACCTAAGAACTGCATTTTTCCTACGATCTTCTAGTTTCTGAATCAGCAGAACGCCGCGAAACTTATTTGGCAACTTAAGCTTCTCATTGTTCTCAAAATCGTCATAAATTCTAATGGCGAAGGTTGTCGGAAATAAGCCATCGACTGGCAAAGCAGCTTTTAGCACTACTTCATTCAGAAGGCTCTGAGACACAACAACATTGCTGGAATCCAGTTGCTGAAGGTTGTCTAAATCAAACTTCGACTCATCGCCAAATTCCTCATCTGCTTCGTAAGAGTACTTTGACGTTGACTGTTCAACCTCAATCGTACTCCATTTATCCAGACCGATAACGGAAGACTCATGACGCCTCTAAAAATAATCATTTATCTACTTCCCCTTGAATTTTAAAAAAACCTCTTTTTTTGCTGATGACTTATCCCAATTATTATCATCCTACGTAAAGCAGTACAGATGCCTTAATCTCTGCTTCGAACACTAACAGTTCAATTCGAATAATTTAAACTTCCAGTCTAATTCTACTTTGTCAAGCCATCCGTGTACAGTTTGAATAAAGTTGAAACAACAGTTATTACCTCTACAACAGCAAAGTAAATTCTATTAAGCATATTTTTACCTTACTCCTCATCCTTCGACGATCTACCTGCACAATAAACTCAGTTAAGGGCACATTTGTGTGGCAAACGTTACCAGCGGTATCTTCACTTAAACTGCAGATTCCAGCTTCGTCACGTCGTTCTACGCCAAAATCATTTTCCTTTCCACTTAGTCCGTCCAAATCCAATTCAAAAGATAAAATAGATCTACGGGCCCTGTGCATTCGCTTAATATTGTTTCCTTCCGGCCCAGGAGAACTTTTTCTCCTATAAATACAGTATTCAAAAAGTTCAAGACTCACTGAATCAGCTGGTGTTAAAAAAATATAATTCATATCTCAAAGTCACAGCAATGGCTAAGAAATGTTAACAAATCGAAAACAGTGGAAAAATTCAGTTGACATCAAAATTTTTTAAACAAATAACAAAGCTTTGAAACTTATCACTTACAATTTCCCATTCATATTCACTCGTCGCTTGCTCAAATTTTCAGCATTTTCACAGTATATTATATGAACTTTACTCTCCCAAAGAGGAATTTCTTCTTTTTTTGAGTTAACATCACTCTGATTGTTGTTCTGATCCTCCTCGACCGTTACACTCGTAGGTCGCCTCCGTCTCTTTCTTTTAGGAGGGTTTGGTTTACTAGAAATAACTTCAAATATTACTTTCGCTACACACATACAGTACTAATATTGTTGAACAGGAATAATCTTGTGAAACTCTAAAAAAGGAATTCTGATTTACCTTATCAGAGATTTGTAGCTGCTCACTTTAGCACACCGATGTATTTCTAGTTCACTTTCCGATACGGTATGCACTTCCATTACATCAAGAAGGTTATTGAAATTAATGTTACCATTCAAATCCAAAAAATGTTTTCCAAATAGAGATCTCTTCGAACCAGTCCGGAAATATCTGGCAGCTGACACCCTAACAGCATTCGCAGGATCCTTCAAATGATCAGAAGCAAGTAACAGTTTTTTGTTTAAAATACGCATTTTGCATGTAACTATTTCACCGCTAGCTACGTGCAAGTGGTGAGACACTAATGCAAAGTTTTAAACCTGGAGAGACTGGATATCCTCACAAAATGCACTCATAATCTCCCATCTCCTTTTCTTATTTTCGGAATATGAAACTAAAAAATTTTCTAATCCAAAGGGATCCACTTGGCGCAGCGACGGCACACAGTCTACCTACAGAAGAAAAGTGAACGCTTCTTTAATCAAATTAAAAAAAACTTGTTTATATGCTTTTACTTTAAGTGCTTCATGAAAATATCTGTGGAACTGCTGCAGCAGTTATGATTTAGTAGAATAATTTGCACGATTTAGCTACTTGGTTTCTTTGAGATCATTCTGTTAACATAAAACAAAACAGACTAAACAAGAGGAACTCAGATAATTTACGTAAACGACATTTTTTTGCTGCCTAATTTCAAATTCATTTTGAAAAGCAGAAGAAATAAAAGAAGTTAAATAACTTTAGAGCTTAAAAAATTTTGTGGATGGTTCAAACTTATGAGAAGAACATCTGAAGAAATTTCTCCAATAAAAAAACTTAATGACTAAAAATTTGTGTGAAACTACTTTAAACCGTACTTTGTTCTTTAAGACCACTCCACTGTTCTGATGTATAGAACTGACTGCCCGGTAATCGCTTTCCGATACATCAATATACTTTTTCACTAATGGAGGCCCTGATTCCCTGGAAAATCAAGAACCCCAAGTTGATCAAGTTCCCATTTCTTTTGTATTCAAAATTAAAAATGTTCAAAATTTTTAAAACTTATTAACTTAAACAACAAACATTACTGACAGCTCCCAATATACAGCAAAAAAGAAGCTAAAAGGTATAGCAGTAAAACGATAACAGTCCGTGCTATCATTATTTGTACATTTTGATTCTGGTATAAAATAATGAAC